CGGGTTCTCACGGGTCAGTGATGGGCGCCCTGACCCACGCCAGCCCTGCCTGTGCCTGCTGGGCCACTTGCTCCTGGTCCTCGCCAGCTCTGGCACTTGGGCACACACCAAAGGCGGCGTCTGCCCGGCCTCCTCTTCACCTGGCCAAGCTGCTCTTCACCGGCTCCCACCCTACCCCGCTCCTAAACCCCGTCCCGGGGCCCGATGGCACCAAGGGCCGTGCTTTAGGAGTTCTGGGGGGACCTGGCCTGTAGTCTGTCCCTGGTCTGAGGGCCGTGGTTTCACCCAAGTGTCCAGAGGGGTGATGGGACAGAGGAACTCTTCCACCCCCTCTAGCCCTCTTGCCCCGAGGGTCTGCCCGGTCCCCAGTGTTCCTAGTGCTTCCAGGCCCCGCGCTGGAGAGGAGCCCATAGGAGTGGCTCCTGGGAGGGACAGAGAGTAGGGGAGGAAATGGGAAAGCAGGGCACCCTCCACCCGAGGAAGCATCCCAGCTCCTCTGCGGGGGTGGTTCCAGAGCACAGACACAAACAGACAGATTCAAACACACACAGACAGATTCAGACTCACACAGAAACCCACACGCCCAGTGGGAGCTTCCCTTCCCCTCAGGCACCCACCTCTCACCCTGCGGAAGCCATCCTCGGCCTGCCTTTACCTTCACCCAGCCTGGGACAGAAGCCGCATCCCCGTGCCCCCACCCCAGGGATGGGATGAGCTCTGGATGCCTCCAGCCTGGTCCCAAGCCACACCACCATCCCTGGAGAGCGGAGCCAGGAAGAGCCCCGAGTCTCTCTCCCAAGAGCATGGAGGCTTTCCCCAGCTGAGCAGAAGAGGAGGGATCCTGGGGAGAGGGGGGTCTAAAGGGGCTGGCACCAGGCAGGACCTGGACATGTTGGCATAGAGTCACTCACCCCTTGCCTCCCCCCAGAGGCCAGTTCTGTGGCAAGACAGGCTGGTAGGGGTTGTTTACATGACTGAGTTATTAACACTCCCTTCCTCCCCCATCTCCCCTGGGGGGTGGCCCGGACCTAAGTGTGGCAGGGGAGATGACTGTAGAGGGTCTAACATGGACTGGAATCCCAAGGCCCTGAGGCCCGGCCTCTGCTCCCAGACTGGCTCCAGGGGCTAAGATGGCGGGCTGGGGTGTGCCTGTGGTCCCCCATCCATGTCCTCTGGCCTCCCTCCTCAGCAGCCAAAAGTCATGGGAGCATCCAGGGGGAGATTCCTGCTGCTTGAGGCCTGAAAGAGGCCAGGGTGGGAGTCTGGGCTGTCTAGAGCCCTGAGGGCCTGTCACTATCATCCCCAGAGGGGATGGGGACTGTCTCAGGGGAGCCAGACGGATATCCCCCAACCCCCCATTACCATGTCTGCTTTATCAGGTCACAGTCCCTGGACTACACCCGCGTTCTCGGGACAGGCTCCTGAGATGCCCAGGGCCTTGTAGGGGCTGGGGTCGGGGACAGGACCCCTTCTCCACTACCAGCCAGCTCCCCATCCTGCCTGCCAGCCCATGCCACAGGCCCACAGAGTCCTTGTAAGCCGGCTGTTCTGTGCCTGAGGACAGAGCAGAGCTGAGGAGACATGCAAAAGACACAAACACGGAGGGAAAGCCACACGGTGCGTGGACACAGTGCCAGACTCAGGGACAAAGCCAAGCAGCCAAGCACCCCCAGACCTGCGTGGGCCCAGCCCCAGCCCCACGCCGACCCCTCACGCACGGACACACACATGCTGACACACGCTCTGCTGACAGGCACAGCAGCACTCACAGCCAGCTGCTCTCACGCGGTCCCCACAGCCCCTTACCTGGGCAATCACAGTGCCCCTCGGGTGGAGCAGCCCCCTCGCCCAGGGGAGGGCAGCAGGCGGGGGCGGGGGAAGGAGCCCTGGAGAGTCAGGCCAAGCTGCCACTAATCCGGGCGGGGAGAGGGGGGGGCACCCACGTCAGAGCGGGGACTGCCGGGTGGAGGGCATCTGAGGACATCCCCTCCCACACACGCGGCCGTCTGGGCACCTAGCCCTGCTTCCCCGGCCCCTCCATCCTTCAGGCAGCTGAGGCTGGCCTCCCCCCATGCCACCCCCTACCCTGGTGGCCACACCTGGGGCAGGGGGCATGGAGGAGGGGGGATACCAGGAAGAATTCTCCCGGGACCTGGGGGGAGGGGAAGAGGAAGGGAAGCATGGAGATGCTTTTGGAGCCAGGAGGAAGCTCTGCAGCAGATGCCACCCTCCCCTCTCGCCCACCCACCCACATCCCTGACCTAATTCCTCTTCCCCGTCTGCACCTCGCCAACGCCCCTCCCCCTTCCCACAACCTCCCCTCCCCTGCAATCTCGCCACCCTCCATCCTGCCCTGGGCTCAGGGCCTTCGTGCCTGGCCACACAGGCTCTGACCCCCGGGAGTTCTCCAGCAGCACGACCACCCTCCTGCCTGGGGTTCTGGCCCCAGCTCAGCTATTGGGGCCCCTAGTCCCTGACACCAGATGAGGCATGGGAGCAAGGACCTGAGTGCTCATGTCCTCAACCCCTTCAAGGGTGGGGCTGAGTCAACCAGGACTCCCCAGCTTAGCCTGGGCCAGGGCGGTGTTGGAACTAAAGGCTACTCACGCTGCCGCCAAGAGTGGCAGCTAAAAAGAGCAGGGGGTCCATGAGCGCTGTGCACATGCGGGTGGGAGGCGGGAGGTGGGGAAGGGGGACAGGAAACAAGGGCCACCATGATGGGAGTTGAAGAGGCAGGGAGGTAAAGGAGTCACCTGGAAGGGCCAAGGGATAGCAGGAGGTAAGGAAGAGGGAGGAGGAACAGGAATGAAGGGCCATCTGCTCCCAGGAACAGGGAGGAAATGGAGGAGCCCCTCAGATGCAGGGCAGACATGCTGGTGGGGCGGCCACAGAGGAGCCCAGGACACATGCCTAATGGGGTCAGACCAGGACCGAGCGGAGGTGTGTGGTTCTAAGGGGGCTGGCCTTGGCTGCTTCATGTCCTTACCAAGCTCTGATCCTGCCTGCGGAGGCCGTGGGCAGGCTGGTGGCAAGTAGAGGGTTGGGGGCTGTGGGCAGGCCAGAGGGAACCCCATCCAGAGGGCGACAGTGCTGAGCAAGGGTTGATTCTCAGGCACTCTCAGATAGGTTGCCAGCTCTAAGGGAAGGCCAGCCAACACCCAGCACCCCAGCTTCAGGGTCACGTGGACACTTGGCCAGAAGTGCCCAGAACTTGGACTTCTCACTCCTTCTGCTCTGGTCCCAGCATGCCTGGGGACCCATAAGGCTGCAGTCAGCCATTCACCAAAACCGTGTTGGAGAGACCCTGGCATTTGCCAGGCTTTGTGGAGGGCCCCAGGGGACCCAGGACACAAAGCACAAGGCTATCGATGAGGAGCCTATGGTCACCCTGCATTTGCTCTTGTGCCAGCAAACGCTCCTCAAGACCTCTTAGGCATCAGGCCCTGTGCTGGGTGCCATGGGGTGACTGTCGGGCATGTTCATGAATAATGACAAGATGCTTCCAGCCCTGCCCTGGGAGGAGTTGCACAGAGGAGGTTCAGAGAACGAGCAGGACCTCACCACCGAGTCACACGCTTACAAAAGTATTTCACTTCGGTTAAGCCTCCCTTTGTTGCAGGCCGGGATGCAACAGTAAGATACAAGTCTGTATTTTGTGAAGTCACAGTGCAGTGGGGGCAAAAACGGAAATCCGAGGCTGGCCAGTGAGCTCAGCTGGTTAGAGCAGAGTGTTGGCAACACCAAGGTCAAGGGTTCGGATCCCCATACCCGCCAACCGCCAAAAAAAACACAAAAAACCCAGAAGTCTGTACAAGAGAGTTCAGATGAGCAAGCGACTCCTGAGTGCTTGCAGAGGACTCCTCAAGGAGGTGACATCTGAGTGGGGTTTGAAGAGCAAATAGCAAATAGAACAGAGGGATGGGGGGAGAAAGAGTATGTTGGGGGACAACACACATGGGCTGCAGGGAGCCACGAGACAGTCTGATTGACAGGTGGAGAAGACAAAGCATCACCCAGTCAGCACGGGGCTAAGAGGCCCTGTTACCCACCCTACGCACCCCTCCTAGGAATGAGGGCAGGTGAAGCCCCCCCACCCTCAGGTCTCACCCCCACTCTCCCTTCTTTTGAATTTGTGTTCCATTTTGCCCATTTGTCACATGCTGTCCCGTTTTGTACCTCCAGTTCCTGCCACTGCACCTCTACCAAGGCACCTCCTGGGCAGACTTGCTTCAGGAGACAGGGTCCCAACTCATGGGCAGCACGATCATGGACAAGTTGCTGCAGCTCTCGGAGCCTGTTCTTCGTCTGTACAATGGGTACAGCCCCACCCTGACAGGCGTGTCAGGAGGATTCAAGGAAAGTATTTCTGTAAAATGTCCAGCACAGGGTCCAGCATACAACAAATGTTCCATACATGTTAGTCTCCTTCTCCTTGCCTCCCATGTAAGAAGCATCTCATTTACTTCAGTATGCATGTGTAATGATTACATGCACAGACTCTGGAGCCAGACTTCCAGAGTTCAAAGCCCAATTCTGTCACTTACTAGCTGTGTGATCTTGGACAAATTACTTGCCCTTTCTGTGCCCAGTTTCCTGTTTGTAAAATGGAGATTATGATAATAGCACGTACTCCTGAGATAGTTAGGGGCTTAGTGCAGCGTCTGTGGGGTGGCAGCCATGCTCCAGGTGCCAGCCATTACTAGTCTTGGCATCTCTACAGTATGTAGCAACGTGTCTGGTACCTGGTAGATGCTCGATAAAGATTTTTCCAATGAATTAATGAGGAGATAGGATGACATGATATAAGGATCACCATGATAGGAAGCCACTGAGCACCAATATGTGAGGAGCTAAATCACCCCTGCAGATTAAGTGCCTCCCCCCAAATAAAACCCAGATAATCCCCACGCCAAGAGTTAATCCACACCCTCAGGCCACTCCAGGTTACCACCCCGCTCCCCTCCTCCTCATCCAACACTCTCACCCGCCTCTTTGCTTAATCAAAAGTAGGAAAGGAGAGCAGAATTGGGGGTGGAAGAGGGGAGCGGCCCTGGGGCACTGTGGTGAGACCAGCATCCAGGGGCAGAGGGCAGAGCCTCACCGGCTTCCCCAGGGATTAGACGGGGGTGGGGGGTGAGGGGGGGGTGGAGCGGAGCCAGCCCAGGCAAAGAGCCTGGGTCTCAGGAGAGCAGAGGAGACTCCATGGATGGGACAGGCCAAGGACCAGTGATCACAACAGCAGGGAGTTCTGCCAGGCCCCGGCAGGGCGAGGCTCTGGCCCGACTCCGAGCTCCGCCCTCCTTGACCTGGAAGCGGGGGGCAGCACAGATCCTGGCAACTGCTGCCCTCTCGTGGCCATTCCTTGGAGGTGCAACACTACCCCTGATATTACCTACGCGTTTACACCTGGAGACCCCCCTCCCCAGGCTTGTGGAGGCAACAGGCCTCTCCAGGTCTCCTCTGTGCATAGCTCCGACATCCCCACAGGACTAAAATGCTGCCCCGAGACCCTCCACGCCTTCTCCCACTGGTTTCTCCATAATTGCACCTTTCTGTCAAGGCCCAATCCCTGTCTCCGCCTAACTGAAGTCTTCTCAGGCTCTGACCCCTCTGCAGGGCTGGTTCCCCACTCTCCCATCTGACTTCACAGAGCTCCCTGAGAGCTGCTCCCTGACAGCACATGCTGCATCACAACTATCTGTCCATGGCCCTGTCTCCTCCAGAGGGCTGGGTTCCCCCGCAGTTTATCTGCCCTTTGGCCCTAGCCCTGGGCCAGGACTGGCCCGTAGTGGGCAGCTGAACTTCAAGTGTGTGACATGAGGAGAGGGACACAAGTCAGAAGAAACAGGACATCTTCACATATATATTTATTTATCAAAACATTCACAAAGCTGACCTCATTCATCAACACAAAACACAACCAGGACACACACCAGGCCTTGGAAAAGGCTGTCAAGTACTTTGAAGGAATGAACACAGCTGGGTGGACTTTTGGGTCCATCTGCAGGGGTTCCAGGAGGGCTCTGGTCCCACACCTGGGTCAGGGAGAGGGCTGAGACAGGAATAAATAGAAGCCTGGGCCCAGCCTGCTCTGGTACATTGTGGACTCATCCCTAACTCGTGGCCCCAGCAGCATCTGCCCCCCCCTGGCCCTTAACCCACAGCAGGAGGCAGGAGAGGAGGAGCCTTGGCAGCTGGTGCAGGCAGGCCAGATGTGCAACCAAAGGTCCCCCCCGCAAAAGCCCCCCATCCCCTTTACAGTGTGAGGTAAGACCAGGCCACACTCTGTGGCACCTAGCTGTCCAGGTCCAAGGGCATGGTCTTTTTTCTCGTCCGAACCTTCAGGGAGCGTGAGGTGCCCTGGGGAGAGAGCAGGCCTGCCATGAGGGGCGGGCTGGAGTGCAGACCCAGCCCACCTCCCGCACCTGCCTCGCCACTGACCTCCCGCACCGGAGGCTTCCTCTTGACCACTCGCAGGCTCTGGCTGCGACTCAGGGGCTTTTCTCGGGGCCGAGCTGGTGGCTGGGGGGCTGCCTCTGTATCTGACCAGCACTCATCCTCTGTGTCACTGTCCTGCAGGCCCCCTGCCCGGTACCCTGTGTGGAAGAGAGGCCGGGGGAGGCAAAGCTGGGCATTTACGGTCTGAAGGCTTAGAGCCAAGCCAGGCCTCCCTCTAGCCCCAGGGGAAGCCATGGCTTGTGTGGAGGAAGCCACCCTTCTGCCCACTCACCGATGGGTGGCCTCCGGTGGGGGACCTGGTCCTCCAGGTAGAGGGGGTCCTGGTAGGTGGGGGCAGGGGTGTCGGGGATGGAGCGCAGGTCCTGCATGGAGAAGCTCCGCAGCCTGCCAGCCAGAGCACCCTGACTCTGTGAGGGAGGGGAGCCACTGTGTCACCCGGGAGGAAGGAGCTTCCATGGGAAAGAGGCTTCAAGCAGGGACACTGCCCGGGACTCAGAACTGAAAGCAATTCAGCAACCTTCTAGCACCATGACTTAGTAGCACTAACAGGAAATTAAGGTCAAGAGAGCAGGAGACACTCCGTGGCAGAGCCAGGAAGGTCTGTGCTGGCAGCTCCATGCTCCTGCCAGCCCCCACCCCACTCCCCTGTCGCTTTTCACCCCTGCTCCCCAGCACAGACAGCTGCTATCTCTCCGCTCCCTGGCAGAGACCTGGACTGGCTCGAAAGACACTGGGGGCGGGAGGGACTGCTGCAGGGCTGGGGGCCCAGAGCACCTTGGTGGCAGCCTGCACAGCGGCCGAGGCGGCAATGTTGAGGCCCCGCTTCCCAAAGCTCAGCACCGTCTCATAGCTGCGCTCCTTGGCCTGCACAATGTATGTGTCGATCTCCTGTGGACCCAGGGGAGGAGAGCTGAGGCAGACAGCCAGAGTCCCTCTTCCTCTGCAGACCCTGAGAAGTCTCTGGTTGCCATGCTTCCCAGTCCAGTGCCCGGGAGCCACAGAGATGGGCCCAGAAAACACACCAAGAGCAGGGCTGCCCACCCCACATCTCAGTGAACAGCCACGCTCCAGCCACCCCTACCATTCCCAAGCCAACTCCCAGCCAGCACCTCATACCCCAAAAGATAGTTTCTATGCACCCCATTTGATGATCCTGGCAAATGAGGAAAGCTAGGCCCTGTCAAGGTCCCACAGCTAAACAGCAGGACTGGGATTAGAACCCAGGTATCCCCAGCATCCTGAACCCCAGGTCCAGCGTTCTTTCCCTCACACCCACCCCATACCTCCTTCCCTGCTTCCCCCGGGGTACCTTCTCATGGCGGGACAGGGATGGGTGGACAAACTTGCGGTAAAGCAGGCTGGCCCCCCTGGTATAGGGTGAGAGCAGCCACAGTACAAAGGCCATCTTGATCTCGTAGTAGAAAGGAAACCTGTCAGAGCACAGGGGGCAAGGTGAGCTGAGGAACCAGGGTGAGCCACCCTGCCCCCCCGCCCACCAACTGCCACCCCCATACCAGGAGAAGAAGATGTCTGTGAAGATCTCTGCTGCCATGAAGAGTGCAAAGACGATCCAGTACATCATCCACCGGACCTATGGCTCAGAGAGCACAGAGGTCAGTGGAGGAGCCCACAGCAGCAACTCCCAGCCCTGGCAGCCTGGTGCAGAGATTCCAGAGATCCTGTCCTGCTGCATTGCTGCATTCCTTTGCCTGGCTAGACAGGAGCCTCTGAGACACTGCTGCTCATTCTTGTGCCCACCCCAACAGGCTTCACCCACAAGATCTGCCATAGGCACCCCAGTAGTCTGCCCTCCATCCACACCCACTGCAACAGGGCTATCCTCCCCACTGCACTTGGGATATGCCAGACCGTCATACCCCTGGAGGAGGCGGAGGCCAGCTCAGACCCACTCCATCTCACCAGGTCCTACTACACAACCCCCGCCACCCCCACCTCAGCCAAGCCCTCCTGCCCATGCCACCCCTGCACTCACATATTCACGAATGTTCTTGGTCTTCACAGCCTTGTAGGAAGCATAAGCTGGGTACAGCATCCCAAACACCAGCCTGGAAGAACAGCCATGGGGAGTGTGAGGGGCACCATGCCCCACCCCCACCCTGCCAGGTGGCTGTCTCCCCCCTGCCAGGGTGCAAGGTGGCAGTGCCTGCCCTGTTTTTCCCGCTTGGCTTGCACAACCAGCGCCTGAGTCAGTGCCCTGGAGGCCACCTCCCCACCCTGCTGTTTACAAACATCCCAAGCCTGTCCAGGCCTGCACTGGTGGCCCATGAGTGCGTGAAACAGCAAGAGCATAGCCCCTCAACAAGGGGGTGAGAGCACCAGGCTGTCTCCTCCCATGGGCATGCAATCAGGCCCAAGGCCACCAGACCTGGCACCGTCAGGCTGCAGACAGGTATATTCGAGCCTGGTGCTGGAGTACTCAGAGGTGACTAGCAGGACCCAGCGCGGAGGCCGAGGCTAGAGTGGTGAGTCACGTGACTGCTCAGATGGGAAGCAGGCATCTGTATTCTCCGCCCACAACGTGCCATATCACCTCGCGTTTGCCAAGCTCGTTTGCCAAGCGGCTGTGGGCCGGCTGTGGCCCCCTCCCCCACGCATTTGTCTGCAGTGTATGTGCGTGTGGGAGGGGTCGCCATCAGCAAAGGAGACTTGGGGGTGGGAGTGGGGGCGAGCACACGGTGCACCAGCTGCCGCGTGCAGGCCCAGAGGTCCGTTAACCCTTGCGGTGAGTGTTGGGGGTGTGACGGCACTCAGAAAGTTCTCTTTCCCACCAGACGTTCCCAGCTTTCACCCCAGGGCTGGCGCCCGGAGGTCAAGAGGATCTGACAGCAGCCATACTCACACCACCAGGCGACAGATCATCCAGGACACCATCCTGCCAGCCTTAGGGACGAGGGGAGAACCCCAAGACGACGCCCAGAGAGGCGTTCAGGCCGGGGCTGGGAGGGAGGGGATCCCCAGAGGTGCGGGTACCAGAGGTCCGGCTGTCCCCAGGCGGAGGCGGAGCCCGCCGCCCACTGACTCCGAGGCCGCAGTGCGGGGAGCCCGGAGAATGGGGAGACCGACGGATCAGTCTCTATGTTCCACTACCATCCTCAACATGTTGACTTTTCATTCTCACACTTGTTGCTTTCTGATTGCAAGATGTACCCCTTAGTTTCAAGACATCAGAGTTAGGAAAATGGAAAAAGGGATGAAATTCACTCCCCATCTCCCCAATAGGGCTCTGTCCTTTTATCCCAGAAGGAAAAGACCCAGCAGGGATCTCCTATTTCAGTGCCTAGAACTGGGTTTTTTGGCCACCCCCAGTATTAAAAGACTCAGATAAAATGTTAACGAGGCATTGGATTTCATTCTTTTTCCAGTACTCTGGTAAAATTAAAGGTTACTTGGCAAATAGGCTTCCATCCAGCAGTAGAGATTTAATTTGTAACTTAAACTAATCTGGTTTGAAAATTAAAATAACTGTAGTGTCCAAGGTGGTGAATCTCTATCTTGGCAGCACATCTGAGTCACCTGTGGAGTTTTTAAATAAAAATATCAGTAATTCTGATTTAATTGGCCTGGAATAAGACGTGGGCATTGAGAATGTGGAAAACTCCCCAGGCCGTGATAATGTTCAGCTAAGATTAAGAGTCACTTGTTTAAGAATGAGGTTCAAGTTGTTGATTTTCTAATTAACTGGGGGTTAAGTCTTGTACCTCCTGATTCCTCCTCCTTTTTTTTTTTGGCAGTCACCAAAATTAAAGAATTAAATGTATAATACACTTGTTCCTGTAGGTAAAATGTCTTGGACATAATTGTATTTTTCTTGTCGATTGAGGTCTGTCCCCGGCGCACGGCGCAGGCGCAGTGCGGCCCGGGAGGGGGCGGGGCTAGGTCGGGAAGGCGAGAGGCCGGCCCCTTAAAGGGGCGATGCGCCGTGGGACTCGTGGGTGGGGCCCATAGGTTGAGTCGCTTGCCTAATAGGAAAGATAGGGGAGGGACAAAGAAAATCTGGCCTCGAATTTTCGCGGCTCTTCACTGGCTTTTCCCAACGTCCTTCCCTCTCGCCTCATTCCCCCGCCCTTCTGTGAAATGGGACAGGGTGTGGGCTGAGCGGGGGTTCCCCCTGCCGGCTCCGGCACAAGCTGGAAGGAAGCTTGGCTGAGCTCCAGCACGTCCGACACCACTGGGCCACGGAGACCAGCAAGCACCCCAGGATGCCGAGTTGGCCGGGAGGGAAAGGAAGGAGGGAGCGGGGAGAGGGGACAGTGGGTTTGAGAGGTCCACTTCTCTCCGGGTTTCCTTTCTAGAGCCCACACACCTGGGCAGGCTGACCGCGACGATTCCAGAGACAGACTGTGGGTAGAGCTCCCAGCTCCCCTACGCCTTCCTCATCAGGGTCTGAAATTCCACCTTTTCCTCTGAGTCAAGAACACAAATACCCCTGGGAGCTTAATAGTTTCAACGAGTGCGTGCTGTTTTGTAATGCACTTTTTTTTTTTTTTTTTTTTTTTTTTTTTTTTTTTTTTTTTTTTTTTTTTTTTTTTTTTTGTCATTTTCATGACCGGTAAGGGGATCACACCCCTTGGCTTGGTGTCGCCCGCACCGCACTCAGCCAGTGAGCGCACAGGCCGCTCCTATATAGGATCCGAACCCGCAGCGGGAGCGTCGCTGCGCTCCCAGCGCCGCCCTCTCCCGAGTGTGCCATGGGGGTCGGCCCTGTAATGCACTTTTGAGCCCAGGGTCTCAGTGTCTGCAAAGAGCCTTTTTACCGCTTGGGAAAGACACTCCGCGCTGAAAAGTAACTTGTCCAACGTCACCCAGTGGGCCAGCTAAGAGCGGTCCAGGGAGGGGGACCGGGAACTGGAGAAGTTCCTCCGGGAGGGAGGAGCATACCTGGAGGAAGGGACAAGGTTCTAGCAAACTTTTCTGCTTCTACCACTTACCGCTTGGGGTTTCATTCTTTGTGGCATCTTCTGCTTACTGCCCCATTGCTCCCTCTGAAAATGGGGAGGACAGTGTCCCCCCACCCTGCGCTGAGGAGAGGCTGAGAGCAGAGGGGCCCCGGGGCTGTGGGGGCGGAAACAAGGGCAGTTACTACTTTTTATGAGAGCCACAGGCGACACCCACTACCTATCAAAAGGATGGAACGGGTAATGACGGGGCCAAGGAAAGGAGGCTTCTTGGGGATAAATAAACCCACACAGTGATTATATGGTCTTAATTATTATCATCCGTTTTATTGGTATTGCTGGGCGTGAGACTTAGCAGTGAAACTGGCCCACAAGAGAAACTCCCCCGAGGTCCCATGTCTCCCTCTCCCCTCCTAACCACCCCCTTGTACTTATCCAGCCTCCCCCCCAAAACACACACACACACACACACACACACACACACACACCACACACACCAGGGAACAAGAACACCCAGGGCTGGGGAAGGTGCCAGACACCATCCATCTCTAGGCAAAGACTTGGTTCTCGAGGTGAAAAGTGTCCTTGGTCTCTTTTTTTTATTTTTATTTTTTAAGATGACCGGTAAGGGGATCTTAACCCTTGACTTGGTGTTGTCAGCACCACGTTCTCCCAAGTGAGCAACCAGCCGTCCGTATATAGGGATCCGAACCCACAGCGTTGGTGTTATCAGCACCGCACTCTCCCAAGTGAGCCACGTGCCAGCCCTGTCCTTGGTCTCCTGATGGAGGAAGGATATGACAGACTGAACAGGGGGTGTAGAAGAGGGAAAAATGTCTATTGCTTGAGGGATAACTGCAGTGGGATCCTCCTTCCTGGTCATGAACTCCAGGACCGCTTCCTCCCTGCTGGCTGCCTGCTGGAGTCACCCTGACTTCAGCACCACTGGCCTCTCTCTACCCCCATTCACTGGGAAGAGCTGTCCTGCGCCCACTCTAAGTCCACACAGCTTGTATGGTCTCTCACACGGTGACTCCTGCTCCTAATACCTGTGCTTGGGAAATTGTAGGGACAAGATGTCAGGGATCTGTTGCCTAGAGCAGGGCTCAGTGAGGAGGGGTGTGAGGCTGGATGGAGGCTGGGTTGTGTCACCCTCCTTGGCTTTGGCAGTGAGTGGACTCTGCCTCTTGTGGCCTTTGGTCCTGAGCTGTTGACACAGTCACCCAATTACACTGGGTTGCTAAGCAGCTCTCTGGGCACATGGATGAGCTCCGGGCAGGTGACCAGCAGAAAGCTGGGCATTCAGAGGCTGAGGGAGAGAAACGTCTCCCACCCCTCAGAGGATTCCCCCCTCGGGGGTAGGGGTGGGGGAGGCTGTGTGTCAAAGTAATGTTTATCTTTCCACTGGGCAACAGAGTGCCAACATGTCTGGGAGACTCAACCCACTGTCCCTGGCAACCTCTCCCGGACACAGGCTAAGCGCCCATTTCCCACTTGAAAAAGCAGGACAGGCTTTCCCAGGATGGTGTGGACAGGGACTCAAGGGGTGCCTTATAAGCCAAGAGACACGAAAGTGGTTTGAGGAGGTGGAAACCCAGACCAGTCATCTACTTTGGCAGGAGCAGACAGTGGTAGGTTGGTTGGGCACCTGAGGCCACATCAGGTTAGACATAGGGTATAGGGGCTCTGAGTCTGAGGACAGGTAAAAAAAAAACGCTTACAAAGATCAACCTTCTCCTTTCCCACAAAACTCCCTTCTCTGAGATACCCCTGTATATGGATCAATATTAGGTGCCAGACACACTATTGTAAGGCCCTTACACATATTAATACATATTTAAGGCATTTAAATCTCATCATAAATAGCCTTATTGGGTAGGTATCATGATTATACCCATCTTATAGATGAGGATACTGAGACACAAATAGGCTAAGTACGTGGCTGAGTGTTACCAGCTGGTTTCATGCAGCTAGTAAGTTGGTAGATTCGGGATTCCAAAAAGTAGTTTTTGTTGTCTGCTTTACAGGAGAAGCTGAGGCTCAGGGAAGTCAGCTGACTTGCTTGAAATCTCACACCAAATGAAGGAAGGGACTGAGCCTGAATTCACACCCGTGTTATCTGGACTCCAGAGCCCCGGTGCGTTCTGCACAGCAGTCTCCAGCTGTCTGTTCCCTGGCTCTCTGCGAGCACCCCGAGCTCTCAGAATATATCTCAGTCCCTGGACCCTGATGCTCACAAGTGCTTGCTGGAAGACAGACACATGAAAGAGGTTGTGTGACACTAGAGAGCTGAAAGGGGCTCTGGAGAACAAACAGGGACCTGGAGACTCCTATCCATCTCCTATCCCTTACCTGTCACTGACCCACACAAGGTGGCAAAAGCCTTACATTTATGCAAGTCCATGAGTGGAGTGGGTGGTGACAAGGAGAAGAGGGATGCCCACAGCTCAGTGACACCCCCATTTTCCCATCTGGCACTGTGTGCTCTCCCTGAGACCCCATTACTCTTACTGATCCTCACCTTGCTCTGGCCTGGGTCCCACCCCTGTCCCCTGCCTGGCCCCCACTCACTTCTCCCTCACTGTCCTTCTGTCATGGGCTCTCTCCACTCATTCTGAGATGGGGAGGGACCCTGGCTGCCCACAGGGGCTTGGGTGCATAGGTGAGACCAGCTCACAGAGGACAGTGATGACAGGCAGAGGGCCATGAACTTGTTGCCAGAAGAACGGGGAGCCAAGGCAGGTTCCTGAGCAGGGGGTGACAGGGTGGAAATATGTTTTAGGAAAGCTAGACTGGAAGGGTATGAGAAGTGGGCTGTCAGGGAGCTGTGTAAGGGATCCAAGACAGTGAGCGATGGGGGGAAAGGGCACACATGAAGGGGCCCGTCTAGAAAACCTTTGGGACAGAGAGCAGAGAGGACTTGGTGGCTTGTTAAATTTGGGGAGAAAAGGGACTAAGATGTTACCTAAGGCTCCAAGGTGCCTTACCTGGGGTGCAGAGTCGTGACAATGACAGACATTTGCCCAGCAGAGGAGCTGGGGGGGGTGCAGGTGGTAAGAGGAGAGAGTTGTTAAATTTGGGGAGAAAAGGGACTAAGATGTTACCTAAGGCTCCAAGGTGCCTTACCTGAGGTGCAGAGTCGTGACAATGACAGACATTTGCCCAGCAGAGGAGCTGGGGGGGTGCAGGTGGTAAGAGGAGAGAAAGAAGAAGGACTGCTTAGTTTGTCTTTGGCCATGTTGGTCAGAGTTGGCCCAACTCAAATGGTCAGACAGTTGAGTTGAGACAGACTCAAGTCTTAGTGGGTCCTCAGACTAATCTCCAGGAAGGAACACTTGGGCTGTGAGTCAGATCCAGGTGGTCATCTCACCCGGTACCTAAGTGTCATCACTATGAACTCCTGACCCCAGCACCAGTAGACCTTGGGGATTCCCACTCCTCTGGATGGGCAGAAGAGGGTGTGGAAGCCAGGGCCGGACCCCTTCTGTGCAGCAGGGTGAGACCTGGCTCTATTCTTAAGGAAACACCTTGATGATACCTGACAGCAGCAATGGGGTGGGAACTTTTTATTAGAAGCAGGTGAATCACAGCATTACCCCCAAGTGCCCCTGGGCATCCTGCTACAAGGAGCCCTCACACAACTAGGCCCAGGCAAGAGCCACCCCTGCCCACCCCTCCAGCAGCCTGGCATCTCAGAGCTGTCTATTCCCAGCCTCCAGCAGAGGGCAGCAGAGGCTTGGCTCTTGATGCTCCTTCCTCAGCTCACCACTCAGCCTTCAATGAAAGGCTCCTGGAGATGCCTCTGTGGATTGGAGGGGTGCCAGGGCCTCCACATGCTCTCCAGCCAAGCTCCCTCACAGGCGGCTTGCGGACTTGCAGGTAGGTGCCCTGGCTCAGCTACATACCCACCCAAGGAGAAAGCACAGCTCAGGGTCCTCATCCCAAACATGGGGGGAAACAGGACAGTTGGAGCCCGAGGAAGCAACAGCTACAGAAAGAAAAGCAGAAAGGCTTCTTATCTGGGTGGCCTCCTGACCATGGGCAAGCTGGGATACAGGATCACAGAAGGAAACTCCGGTGAGAACAGAGACAGACAGCACTAGAAAAAACCCAGGGTGTGGCGGTGTGTTATTGCTTCGGGGCAGAGGGGCCTCCACCAGCAGAGCAAGCTGGCACTCATCTTTCAGCCGCAGGTGGGCACACTGCAGGTGAGCAGAGGAGGAACAGGTACCGTGGGCCCCTCCAAGGTAACAGAAGGGAGCCCCTTTAGGCAGGGCTGGATCTGCATGTGCACACACACGCTTTGATGTGTTTAGCTGTGGCCACGGGAGTATAGACAGGTGTGTGTGAGTGTGCAGCTGAGTGTGTCCATCTGCGTCCATGGAAGGAGGGAGCAGGGATGGCCATGGCTGCAATACAGCGGAGCGTGAGCAGGTAAACACACACCTGGAGCACCAACACGTAAGCCCAGGGGGTCACAAGGAGGAGCAAGTGACCAGGAGGGTACAGTCCTCCTCCCCCGCAGCACCTCAACCTGCACCTCTAATATGCAAGAGAGAAGGCAGCAGAGAGAGGGGGGCCTCCGGATGGGGTGGGGGGCGAAAGGTGGCCTGTGGACAGGAGGGAACTGGGCCTGGGGTGCCTGGGGTGCCTGGTGCATATACGAGTGTCTATGCCGATTACAGTAATGGTGAACAGCTCCCCTTTGCAAATCCACGGAGTGTACCCATGCTCAGCGGATGTGTGTGTATATGTAAGGGCACAAATGCAGGTTGGCTACATGTGTCTTCACACGGGTACACAGGCTGCTCACGGAAGCTCCCACCTAGCCTCCAGAGACCGCTCTGAGGAACCCAAAGGCCTCGGCACCCCTTTAGGCACTGAGATCCACCACTACATGTCGGTACACCAGTGTCTGTCCCTTGAAGCTGGGGGCCAGGAGCAGCTGGGCATCCCCAGCAGGCATGTAGCAGAAGGCCCGAGGAGCCTGCACAGCCAGCTCCTGGAACCGCACAAATTTCTGTCGCCCCTCGTCCCACTGGTAGATCTGGGTGAAGGAGAAGTCACTGCCCAGCGCCAGGTAGCGGCGGCCACCCACCAGGAAGGGCTGCAGGGCCAGTGAACCTCGGGAGGGCAGGGCCTGCACCTCAGAGAAGCGGGTGCCCTCCCAGCGTAGGATCTTGGAGTCACCGATGTAGCGGCTGAGGCATAAGTAGCTGTCACGGCCGGCACGAAAGTGTTTCACAGCCTGGGCATCAGGCACCTGGGTCACCTCACCCTGGGCCACAAACTGCTTCTGGGTGCGACTCCACTGATAGATGACGGGTGCCTGGGAGCTGCTGGACACGATCAGCCGTGGCTTGCCCTCACCATCCACAAACTCCAGATCAGTGTCACGGTGCCAGGCGTGCAGGGCCTGGTGGGAGTAGAAGCCATTCTGGTGCCAGCGGTAGAGGCTGGTGGCACCTGCCTTGGAGCTGTCAGCCACAGCAAAGTACCAGTCACCATCGATGCGGAAGGCCTCTAGATCATTGGGCTTGCGCACACGCTGGGGATCGATGTCCTGCAGCTTGGTGAAGCGCGTGGTGTTGGGATCCCAGTGGTAAATGTAAGAGCCGCCAAAGAGCTGGGCCACGACCACGTACAGCTGGCTGTCCACCACCATCGGCTTGCAGTGCACTGCCGAAGGGGCTGCCAGGACACGGCAGGCAGGGTTAGGTGGGCCATCACTCCCACCCCCTGAGAGAAGAAGATCAGTCCCCTCCAACCTTGGGCCAGGACCAAGACTCTCTGCTGTAGTATTTCACCCCCACTGAAGGTCATCAACTCGGGGTGCAATACTTTCTAATTGTTTTAGCAGATTTAATATCACCCCCATCACCCCTTTGCCTCCAGGGTTCAAATATAAGCTGACACTGAGCACAAAATAGGTGTCCCTGGACATTGACTGACCGTTTAACCATAATGTCAATTATTGAATTTTTGTTGCATATATTTACTTTGCTAAGGGTAATATGTATTACCTCAATTAATCACACTGGAAAGGACCCTATTGCCCACTTTTCACAGAAAGAAACAGGCTCAGATAGAGTAAGTGATTTGCCTAAAGCTACCCTACTGGCAAGTGGCCAGGCACATCCCCAGTCAGGTGAGAAATCCCAGGTGTACCAAAACCACACCTTGACGTTTGGGGGTGGTACATGGAAACACATAATCCGAAGAGTTCCATCTTTGAAGGGCTTTTGTGCACCTGTACTCACAACTAGGCTCATTGGAACCCATTTCAGGCACAAACACATGAGACCACACACTGTGTCCTGGAGCCCCAGTCACCGCTGTCATCTCCACCTCACCACGACCCACCTTCCCCCCAAGGGAAGCTCATGAAGAGCCTCAGGCTCTGGCAGTCACTGCCAGAATTCCTTCTTTGAGGCTTGTCTGCCCCACCCAGATGCTAATGTGCCCCCCCTCTGCCCCCCAGCTCCTGATCTGCCCCTGGGACTCCCCTTGCCCACATACCCACACAAGCATCTCAAACCCAGGCTGGCCACAGACGATGGCCACACCCACCGCCCAGCCCACTCCTCCCTTTCAACCAATCCAGAACCCAGGAGCCAGCCTCCACACTTTTCTCCGCTTCAGTCACCCCTCCCTCCTCAGTCCCCAAGTCCTGAAAATCCTCCCTTCTACTTTTTTTTTTTTTCCTTTTTGTCTTTTTTACTGACCGGTAATGGGATCGCAACCCTCGGTGTTGTGCCCGCCCCGCGCTCAACCAGTGAGCAGGAACCGGTCTCCACATGGGATCCAAACCCTCGGCGGGAGCGCCGCAGCAGCGCACTCTGCAGTGCGCCACCGGGCCGGCCCTCCCTTCTACTTTTTAATAGAGTTTGTGTGAGACTGGTGTTATTTCTTCCTTAAATTTTGGATAGAATTCACCAGGGAATCTATCTGGGCCTGAAATTTTCTTTGGGGAAAGGTTTTCAGTACTGATTGCAAGTTCTTTAATAGATACAGGACAATTTAAATTTTCTGTTTCCTCTTGTGTCAGTTCAGTCCTCCTTTCTAAATCTCTCTCTCCACCCCCACTGCTACTGCCCCTAATCCAGGCTCCAGCATCCCTCCAGCAAACAGGCACACATATCCCTGCTGGTCTGTGCTCTCAGCTTGCTCCAAGCCTAACTCTTTTCCATGCAGAAAGCTTTCTAAAATGCAGACTGATTAGTTCCACACGCTCTGCTCAAACCCTGTCCATGACCTCGTCCTCATCAATCTCTGATCTCATCTGCCATACCTCATTTTGAACCTTACTCTGTAGTCATACGAGCTGCTTAGAGTTTAAATACACATACACTCAAATGCTAAGCTGTCGCACACCTTAACTCTGTTCATGTTCCCTCTGCCAGGTACCCTTCCCACTCTTCTTCCCCTAGCTGTCTCCCCCACCCTTCAAGACTGTTCAAACATCATAGATCCAAAATGGAGCTTAATAGCCATTCTTATCCCTTCCTCCTTATTTCCCTAGCCCCACCCTGGTACTTAAGCTAGGAACCTGTGCATCACCTCTGACTCCTCCCTCTCCCTCATCCATTAAGACTCAGCTTGGGCATCCCCTGCACCAGGAAGCCTTCCTTGATTGCCCAAGGTAGGCTTCTCCTCTGTGCTGTCAGAGCATTGTGTTCATATCTTCCTCTGAGCACCTACTTATTATATGGATGTTATCTGTGTATGTACTGGCCTCCCCCCAGAGACTGGAAAGTTCTTATGGGCAGAGACCATGTCTCATCTATCTTTTACCTATAGGAACTCAATGAAATTGAATAATAGAGCCCCTCCCCCATTCCTCCAGCCAGAGCCAGCACAGTCAGGTCTGGCACAGGTACCTGGGATTCTATCATAGTCTCGAAGCTGCCGTTCGACGTAGTCCCACTTAAGGACAGTGCAGGCACTGGCACCTGGCTGGGCCAGCGCCACATAGAGGTCACTGGAGTAAAGGAAGGGCTCAGCCGACACAGCTGGGAAGGACAGGGTCTGGTACAGCACAAAATCTGCAGGGGGGGGGGGGGGGGCGGGCGTTACTCAAGACCAGAGGGAGAAGGAAAGAGCCTGTTGGGTGGTGGCCATTGCCTGACTGATGCCCGAGGCAGGGGCCCTCCTACCTGTGGTGATGCAGTCAAACTCCCGCAGTGGCAGGTCCTGCACCTTGTGTTCCTGGAAGCGGGGTGGGCTGGCACAGTAGATGGGGGCCACAGTGGTGTTGGTGTGCGACAGCCACTCCACCAGCCACTTCACCTTGCAGTCGCAGTTGAGCGCATTCCCCCGCAGGTCTCTGGATCAGGAGGACGGTGGAGGGGGCACAGGGAGGGACAGGCTCTCAGGGCTCTGCCTACCTGCGCCCTCTAAGTTTTCAGAAGTTGATCTTGTCGAGGCTACTGCTAGTTGCTCACATGCATTTCTGTACCAATTAGAGAAAGATTCCCCTCGGCGTAGACGCAGCCCTGTGGACACGGGCTTGGCCAGCGGAGTGTGGGCTGGGTGTCAGACCCTGCTCACCAACTTGGCCAGGTGCCTTTTGTAGTATGCAACCTGCACAGCTGTGTGTCACGTCCCTGTTCCTACAAACCTCCCACAATCCGGGGCCTCTATCTTCTTGTATAAATAATGATAAATAATTATGGCTACACTATAGGACTTTAATGTGGGTTCAAATCAAGCATACATTTAAAAAGCACATGCTTTAAAAACACATTGTGTCTCATGTGCGTTTTGAGAGAGCCCAGGATGCCTTAAGGAACCCCAATTTGGAAGGCTACCATCTAACTCGACCTTGCCTTCTCAGAGGCCCCCCAAACCCAAGCCCTCCTAGCCTCTCAGGACCTTATGATTGTCCTGGTTTTCACTCCCCCATCATGAGGGGGCACCCTCTGTGGCATTGTTGGAAGAAGCAGGACTCAGGCCTTACAGGTCACTCAGGATGTCCAGGGGTCGAAAGATGTCTCTGGGCAGTGTCTGCAGGTTATTGTTGGCCAGTGAGCTGCAAAAGAGACCCCCCCCCCAGGTCACCTGAAGATCGTGACCAAGGCCAAAGGCCACAGGAGACATGGGGCTTTGGTCCAGTGTGTGTGTGACGTACTCACAGGTGTGTCAAGGACTTGAGTCCTCTGAAGGTAAACTTGGATAGTGTCCAGATGTCATTGTTCTCAATGAAGCTGGAGAAAACAAGAATTTGCCTCAGCTGCCACTCATCTGTCACCCATACTCCCAAGCAGCCATTTCCGTACAGCCCAGCCCAGATTCTAGCCCAGGTCCCCAAACCAGGCTTCCGTACAGGGTCTGGCAATATCAAGCCTGTAGTGATAGGGCATCAGGCAGGATGCTGTAGGCAGGGGGGAGGATGGAATGACTTTCGGCTTGGTGCTGCAGTCAGAGGACTCAAAGGCTCTCACCTCCCACCACCTCCCCCTCCCCCAGCCTTCTTATTCCACACTATTTTCCCATTGCCCCTTTCCCTCCACACACAGGTACTGCAGGTGCGACAGTCCCATGAAGGCATTGTCTCCAATCAGCGTAAACTTGTTGGAGTTGAGTAACCTGGAGAAACAAAGGAGCCTGTAAGGGTGTGCCCCTGCCTCACCCCTGGGCTTCCCGAAGCTCTGGCTGTCCTGTCCCCACACCTTGGCATTCCAGCACAGAGCCCTGAGCCACTTCCCTGGCAGCAAGACCAGGCAGGAGCCTCTTCTGGTCCCAGAGCTCCCAGGGTCTCTGTTTAATCCTAAAAATGGTTGAGGGCAGAGTTCTCCTGTCAAGCTGGCTCCTGGCCCTCCCCCATGCTGTCTCCTCTCCCCATCTCCCCACTCTCACCCCAGATCAGTCCAGCCCCACATGAACAGCTGTCCCTCACCAACACCACCTTTTAGAATTCCAGACCCTCCTGTCATCCCTCCCTTTCAGCCCCCAGCTCTTTCTTCAAACCCTGATCCTTGGGGTCACCTGTCTCTAAGATGAGCCCCCCCCCATGTCCACCCGCTGGCACCACTTCCTGAGAGTCTCCAGAGGAGCTAAGTCCATTGCCCAGATACCCCCCTTGGTTTCTGCATGCGATCCCTGTCTCTCCTCCTTCCAGCTGCTGCCCCTGACTGCTCCTGACTCCAGGCTGCTCCATGTTTTGTGGCATACACTCTGAGAGCAAAAGTAAGGGACGCCTGCATCATCATCTCCACGGCTGCCTCCATGCACTCTCCTTCTCCCCAGCCCAGGATCTGTCCCCTTCTGCCCTCCCCCCACCCCAGCCCCACCCAGCCCTTCCGCAAAGCCCTGTCCATACAAGAACTGCAGCAGCGGCAGGTGAGAGAAGGCTCCATCCTGAATCTCTGAGAAGGCAGCATTCACCAGGGTCCTGCAGGGGACACCGAGTCAGTGCTGTGGGGAATCTGCAGGGACTGTGCTGGGGCAGAGAGAGGTGGACAGGGTGGTGGCTTCTGTACTCACTAACCCTGGAAATGTCCCATTCCACCAGCCCTCGCCCCGCACCTGTGACTGTCTTTCCCTTCTCCTTTACCATTATCCTCCCCATCGCCTCCTGGAGCACTGGTGGCCCCAGGCTTAGTTCCCCTCTCAGCCAAGAGAAGCTTCCATTACCCTCACCACCATCTGTCAGCGTCACCCAAACACCCACCATGTGCTGAGTGCTGTTGAGGGATGGGGCACTGGAATACGGGTGGGGGGCTAGCATCCTGCTCTCATGGACCTCAGAGCCTCTCCAGTCCTGCAGGCAAGGGAGACCCCTAAGGCCGTCTGCTGCGAGTGACAGGCTGGCCCAGCTGGGTGCAGAGTGGCTGGCCCTGGTGGCAGGCATCTGTCCTGTGCCAGGGGACTGTGAGGGCATATCTCAGTTCCCACCCCTCCCCCCTGCTGCATCCTTCCTCCCCCCACAAGGGGCCTTTCTGCCCTTGTGTAGCGTCACAGGCAGGGACCCACATGCTCATGTAAACAACCCCCCTTCAAGCCCAGAGCCCCCCACACACACAGTAGGTCTCATTGATACTGATGGTGGTGATGATTCATTCTTGGCAATAAACTCCCGCTTTTCCCAGCCATGACCCCTGAGCCTGCATGACTGCAGAACTCCCTGCCCAGCTGGAGCCTGGAATCTCCAGTCTTGAAGACCCCCTGGAGGCCTCCTGGTCCCCACGCTCTGAAGAGGGGGGCAGGGGTTCTCCCATCCACTCCCAGAGCAGGTCTTGCCCTCCTCTCCGTCCCCACTCCCCAAGGCCAGGGCTAGACACTCACAAGGAGATGACCTCCGAGGGCAGGTTCCTGGGCACTGCCTTAGAGTCCACGCAGAAGGCGGTGTCCCTGGTGCAGGAGCAGCTGGGCGGGCAGGGGGGCGTCTTGGGGGGCCTCTTGGCACTGACATGCAGCAGCAGGCAGAAGCTGAGCGTGGACAGCGCCAGCAGCCCGGGACTCGGGCCCCGCCAGGCCTGCAGCCCCGCCATGCTCCCTGCTAGCCCTCCCCGGGCCGCCCCACCCCACCGCTCCCCGCCGGCTGTGCCACCCCGCGCAGGCTGGCACCCTCGCGGCCACCAGCGGTTGCCTCCGCAGCTAGCAGCCTGCCTGCCCGCTGCGCAGAGCCGATTCCTGCCCTTGGTGAGGCACACATGGAAGGGGTGGCCTCCACGGGGCACTTCTCAGAGGGGGTAACTCAGAGATGGACAGAAAGGGGCAGTTTGATTCCTGTTCTTAGCTAGTGAGAGGTGCCCCAGGAGTGAAGCAGATGACAACCATGATGATGACTGGATTTCACGTCCCTGATGTCACTGGCTCCTCAAACAGCTTGGTGAGGTGGACAGGACAGGCTGTACTATCCCAGGTCACAGATGGTTGTATGGAAGCCTAAGAAAGCAAACTGATGTACTCAGGGTCCCAGAGCTGGCCAGCGGCAGCACTGAGATCTCCACATACTGAAGGGATGAACTATTGACCACTTGGCGGGAACCCCCTCACATTGGTGACAGTCTTCCCATTGAATATACCTAACTGTTGACTGTGTGCATGCTCCTTGGCCTGTGGCAGATTCAAAGAAGCATGGGGAAGCATGCTCCTTTCCTTCCGAGGGCTGGCAGCACGGTTGGGAAGACAGGGCTACAAAAAGCACCCATGTTGCTGACAAGGACATGCACACGTGCTAAATGGGAGGTGCTGCAGGGACACAGGAGGATATCAGAGAAGAGAGAGCACCGTGGCCTGGGGTGAGGTCACAGAGCAGGTGCCATTGGTTCTTGGCCTTTTAGGGTGGGTGGTATTCACAGAGGTGGAGGGGTGTTGGGGTGGGCTTTCCAGCAGGGAGAAATGGCTTAAGTAAAAGCCAAGAAGTGAGAAGCCTGCAGCAGGAGGACGGTATGGGGGCAAGGTTGAGGGCAGTGTGTGCCCAGCGAAAGGTCCCTCCCTCCTTCCTTCTTCAGGGACCCCAAGACCTCTGTCAGGTTGGTGCCAGCATCTGAACTTCTTATGAAACTTGAGGGTACCCTTCTCCAGCCCCCAAACAGGCAACAATGAGTTTTTTTTTTTTTAAATCCATAAAGTGTATGAGAACTACAGCCTAAGACAGCCTACAGGGGAGACTGAGGACCCAAAAAGAAAGACATTCCTTTTCCTAGCACCCAGAGATGATGGCAAACCCTGCTCAGAGTGCCTGTTCAGAACAAGCCCCACAACTGGACCACATGGCCCCCCGAGATGCCCACAGGGACCCCGAAATGCCTGTAGTTCTCCCTGGCTCTCCCACTGGCCCGCTGCCCACCTGGCCGAGGCCCAGTATTTGTGAGTCAGCCGATCAATCCCAATGTTTCCAGGACAACGAGGGGCAGGAGTGGGGGCCTGGGGGGCGGACGGGAGTGGGCACCACAGGCAGGCTGTTGCCTACATCTGGCACCTGCACACAGCTGAGACCAAGCTGAGAGGAGCAGCTTGCTTCTCCCCACTCCCCCTCCTCCCTGAACCCCTCCCCTTCTTTCACACATCCTAGGACACTCTTTCTGCTGCTCAGGCTTAGGCAAATATTTAAAGGGGCAGCTGCGGGGTGAGGAGGGTGGTGGGACCAAACACATCCTTCCCTTTCTCCTCTCCTGAGCTTCTCAGGGGCTCTCAGCCCAGATGCCATGCTGTTGTGCAACCTCCAGGCTGAAGGCCCTCCAGCTGGAGAGGGGGTCCTTGTGGTGACAGGGGAGCCTGCCAGGGCTGGAAAGTGAGGAACCAGCTCATGCTCAAAGGGCAGGACCAACGTGTGAGGAGCCCAGAGCAAGGGACACGAAATGGGGCGGTGTGCTAAAGGAGGACAAGGGAGTCAGGCCTGAGAGGCAGGGGTGGGGCTCTGACTCACACATTCATGAAAGTTTGGAGGTGAAGGGACTTTAGAGACCTCCTGGCCCAACAAGTGAAGTGGAGCTGGCACAAAAGGGTACGGCCAACCGAGAGTCATTGGTAGATTTGACTTAGTACAATAAAGCAACAGAGATGGCTTTAGGGAAAGAGGTGGGAAATAGAAAGAGGAGAGGAGAAGGTCCAGAAAATGAATCACATTTGGGTGAGTAGCATTCTCAGAGCAACTTTGGGATCAGATGATTTAAAAAGAGGAGCCCGCCAGCAACCACACTCAGGCCTGTGCAAGGCTGTCCGGGCACAAAAAAGCAGTGTCAGGCATGGAGTCTGCTATCAAAAGCCGATGGCTTTCCAGCAAGCCCATAGCGAGGAATGAAACACCACATGTAAGTAATCGTTTACCACCAGTGAGGACGGCCTTCCCAGCATTAGGAAAAGACTGGGGGCAAGTCTGAGGCTGGGTATGAAATATGTGGGAGGAGATAAGGCGAGGTAGAGCATGTGAAGTGGGAATCCAGCCGTCCCAGAGAAATGCACATTCATAAACCCCCCGAACCAAAGTCAAAGCACCTCCTGCCTTCAGCAGAGTCCCCTCTGGGTCTGTGGTCTCTGCCTCTTCAACCCCTTGCCCAGAGCTCATCCCTATGCTTGGGGAAACAGTGGGGAAATGTGCTGGTCAAAACCTTGGCTGCCTGAGAGGCTCAGCCAGGCAGAAGAACAAGGAGAGCCACAGGACTGCAGGGGCAGGTGCCAGCAAGAAAGCCGGCATGCCAGGCAGACACCCACGGTGAGAGGTGCAGATGGCCCAAGGGCAAGTGTGCTTGACTCGCCCAGGTTTGCTCTTGCTGGGGCCAGGAGCACTTAGGTGCCAGGACCAAGGGCCCTTGGGAGCTCTTGCAGCTGGCTTATCAGGGCCTTGGTTCTGGAGGGCCAGGAACAAACAGGCTTCAAAGCCAAGGGCTTGGCTGGCAGACAAGAGGCTTGGTCCTCCACCTTGGTCCCCTCTCCCTACTGACATATATAACACTCTGGTCACACCCGGGAGATGTGGAGAGGACAGTGCCTACAGCATGATGGACTTGGGCAGCAAAGATGTCCTGGTGGAGAGCCCCCCGGTGAGTGCAGCCGTGTGTATGTGCATGTTTGTGTGCATGCCTGTGTGCATGGTGGGCCCTGCCTCCTCCATCCTCCCTGGGCCTGTTTCCTCTTCCAGGTTCATTCACTCAACTAACCCAGGACTATGCCTCCCCAAGACCACCAAGATGAAGCCCTTGGGGACAGAGACATGGCAGCCAATATTTCCAATATAAAGAGCTAAGAACCACCATAGAGGTCAATGGGAGGGGCTGTAGAGGGCACTGAGTAAGGAGCCACCAAATATTTGGGAGGTCAAAGGAAGCTCCCCAGAGAAAACAACATGTGGGTTGGATCCAGAAGAGTAAGTAGGAGCTCACCAAGTGGAGGAGGAGGAAGGCATTCCGGAAACAAGGGGTAGCATGTATAAAGGCATGGAGGTGTGAGAGTGCCTGATCATTTGGGGAATGGAGAGGGGCTAGCCATGCAGGATGCCCAGGGTTTGGGGAACAGGAGATGAGACTAGTAAAACAGGCTCTCTTGGGTCCCTCCAAACTAGACCTTGCTTCTAAGTTTCTAAGCATCTGTGGTTTTGTTGGACTCCAGGCCACCTCCTCCAAGAAGACTTCTCTGATTGCCTCAGCCCTCCTCTGCACATCTGTAGCATTGACTGTCCAGCTCTAGGAGGATGTGAGAGGGAATTCAGCTTGTGCAGAGAGAGGAGAGACACCCTCATGACTTTAAGCCTGTCTCCCTGCCTGCCCCCTTGTCAGGACTACTCAGCAGCCTCCCGGGGCAGGATCAGCATCCCCTGCTGCCCAGTGAATCTCAAACGCCTTCTCATTGTGGTCGTGGTGGTGGTCCTTGTCGTCGTGGTGATTGTAGGGGCCCTCCTCATGGGCCTTCACATGAGCCAGAAACATACTGAGATGGTGAGCAGGTCTGGGAAGGGTGGGCAGCGGGCACAGGACATGCCAGAGGGGCTGGGTGGGATGGGCAGACAGGACACTGTCCGAGCGGAGTGAAGAGGAGGAGACAAGGAGCAGGATCAGGGTCGCAACCTAGCCTGGGCTTTTCCACCAGGCCCCTGCCCCACAGTGTTACAGCCAGTTCCCTCCAGCACCTGGTTCCACTCAGCTCCCCAAGCCCTAAAGAAAGAAGGAACTCCATTTGAGCCAAGAGGAATGAGGGTGGGCATGGGTGCCAAGGGCTGAGCAGGAAAGAGGAGTGCCAGGCGGTGCTATGCTGCTCCCCCAGGTCCTAGAGATGAGCATTGGAGCGCCGGAAGCCCAGCAACGCCTGGCCCTGAGTGAGCATGTGGGTACCACTGCCACCTTCTCCATCGGCTCCACTGGCATCGTGCTGTATGACTACCAGCGGGTGGGTATGCTTGGACCTCTCAACCCTGGGGCTGGGGGACCAATGACAAGACTTTACTAGAGCCACACAGCCTTTAGCCCTTTTGCCTCCCCAGGGGTGCCCTAACCCCAGATTCTAATATGACCCACATGCCCAGCATAGAGGGAGCTGACTAAGGACCAGGATTAGGGAGAAAGCAAGGCACGGGTCTCCTGAACAAACTCTACTGGTCCATGTCCAGCTCCTGATTGCCTATAAGCCAGCCCCGGGAACCTGCTGCTACATCATGAAGATGGCTCTGGAAAGCATCCCCAGCCTTGAGGCTCTCACCAGAAAATTCCAGAACTTCCAGGTGGGTGTGTGGGCGAAAGGAGTGGGCTGTCTCCCTCCAAGGGCTGCTGGCTAGCACCACCTGTAAAGCACTGCTCCTCGTGGACTGCTGGGGAGCACCCTTCCCTACCCACTCCCCAGCCCCATCCCGCTGCCAAACGCACACATTACCCCTGCTTCTGACTCCAGCGCAGGCCCCTCTTTACTGGTGAGGAAACTGAGGCTCAGATTGCCTGCTGTGTCTGAAGTCCCACAGTAAGGGCTGCAGGTGAGACAGAACCTGTTCCCAGACTCCAACTTAATGAGGTGCTTTTTCCAGGCCAAGCCTGCAGCGCCTACCTCTAAGCTGGGCCAGGAGGAGGGGCGTGACACAGGCTTGGCATCCTCTGGAGGAGACCTGGCTTTCCTGGGCATGGCGGTGAGCACCTTGTGTGGCGAGGTGCCTCTCTACTATATCTAGGACGCCTCAGGTGAGCAGGTGTGACCGTTCAGCAGCAAAGGAGGGCTTGAGTCCTGCTATGTTAGCTGACCAGGCCCTTGGGGATGGATCGACTGAAGCCTGGTCACCTAGGGGGTTAAGGGGAGGGAAGTCTAGAGGAATCCTCCCAAGTCCTTCTCTCTCACACAGTAAGCGTTTCTTTGCTTCACAGGGTCCACCGAAGCCCCAAGAGGACAGGAAAGATCCACCAGCAAAGGGTCTTTTGCAGACGGCAGGAAGCTGTTCCCACGCACACCACAGGGGCTGGCCCTGGACAAATGGGAGCTGTGGGGACGGGATCCGGCAGAGGAGAGGTGGCTCCTATGGGCCAGGGGACTCCTACCACGAAAGAATAAAGCAGCCTAATCGAAAAACAAAGGGTCCTACTTCTATCTCCCACAGAAGGCTCAGTCCTGCTCTTGGTGGGGGTCGGCTAGGGGAAGGGGAAGGCCTGAAGGGAGCGAAAGGGGCTTTGCCATTCTCCCTCTGTCCCAGAGCGCTGAGGCATTCGGCCCACCCCCGCTGGCAGGGGCAAGAGGGGACAGCGGGGACGGGACTGGGGAGCCATCCACGGGCTTCAGGCGCCCTCCAGTGGTGTCTCCGGAGGGAGGGAAAGCGACCGAGACAACGAGACAGAAAGAGAGGGACAGACAGCGAGATGGGAGACAGAGAGAGACGCAGGCTAGAGACACGGTCGGAGTCCGCGGGACCGAGAGCCGGGGTCAGCGCCAGCGACCTGACAGCGTGTCCCGCAGCCGGGAGGGGGCCCGGGCCGGGCGCCCGCGGGGTAGGGAAGCCGCCGCTAGAGGGCACCCCCGGGCCAGCGCCCCCCCCCCGGCCCGCCGCCCCGGGCGGCCGCTGGACATCGCCTACCTCGCC